TGGGCCGTTTGCGAGAGGGCTTTACATTGGGGGATGTAGCTCCGCTCTCGCGTTAGATGGCAGCTTTACGGTCACTCGCGGCGTTTTCTCGATTCACTTAGATGTGGTCAGGCAATTGCTCCTTCCAATTCACAAGCGGTCTAGGGGAGGTTTATTGATAATTTTTCTTCTTTCGTGCGTAGGCCAAGCGTCATCCTTGGGCCACACACCTTTTCACTAAGCACAACAATCCCTATGGCATCATCGGGGTGAGGCAGCACCATCCACCCCCTAGCCACTATTTTTTTGCTTGACACATGCATCCCATTCATATATCCATCGCCCGCCCTTAGTCCTTTCGGGCTTCTACATTGCATGCAAAGAGACAAGACACACATTTGTCCTGCAAGCCACACCCTTTTCCCTTGACCCCTTTTTCCTTGACCCCTTTTCCCAAGCATCCTAAACCAAAGCCCTCCGCATCAAAGTTCACGCTAGGCCTACGGCCTCCCCATCCGCTCCTCATCCATCACTCCCGCCCGCGTACCCCGGACCCAATCTTGCTCAAGTCATCATAAGCTACTCACCTACACAATCCCACACGAAGGCAAAGACCAATACAATCCCCCATTGGGGTCAACAAATTGCCCTTTCCCGCAAGCCTAAGTTCCTTTCTTTTCCAAGGTTCTTTCAACTTTCTCTTCCTTCCCACAATCAAGCCATACATTCTCCTTAGTCTTGCAGTTGGGGAATGGTTGAGTCAACTGACCTTGTGCTAAACTCTCACTTTCCCACTTTCTCAAGGTCCTTGTCTTCCCAATTCTCAAGGGCTTTCCTTTCTCCTTCTTGGTGGCACAAGGGACCGTCTACCCTTCCCTTGCCCTCTTTCTCCACCAAGTGAGGACCGCTTCTTTTCACCGTTCGAACCTAGCAATGTAACAAGTGAGAGGGGAAGGGTTAGTCACGTGTCAAGAAGGAAGAGGGGGAGAGGGTAAGGTGAGGGTCGAGGCTCTAAGGAGAGAGAGAGAGAGAGAGAGAGAGAGAGAGAGAGAGAGAGAGAGAGAGAGAGAGAGAGAGA